ACCATGGTTCGAGTCCTGAACCTGGTGGCTTGCTTTCTCACTTTCCCTCTCTCTCTCTGTGTGTGTCTCTCTGGTCAAATTAAAATAAATGAATGAATAAATAAAATTAAATAATTCTTTTAAAAAATTCTTTAAAAATCCCCTCTGACTTAATTTATTTAAGCACTGCAATGATTCATTCATTTAAAAAATTATTTAATTTTTATTTATCATTATTATTTCCAGTTTTTAAAAATTATTTTATTTAACTTTCTGTTTCTTTCTTTCTTCCTTCCTTTTAGTTTGATCAGAGAAAGAGAGAGAGGGAGAAAGTGAGAAAGCAAGCCACTAGGTCCTAGACTCAAACTGCAGTCAGTCATGTGGAGTCCAGCACCTTTAACCACCATGCCACCTACCAGTCTCAGTTCATTCATTTTTATATTATGACTCTAAAAGGTGCCAACACTTTACTGATCTGAGTTTTCGTTTGTTTGCTTTTTTAAGGTTTCGTTATAGGGCATATGTACTCACTGGAGAGAGAGAGAGAGAGACAGAGAAAGTGAAAAATCATCCCCTAAGGTGGAGAGGGTAGTCATGCCACAATCCCTTCTCCTCTATTCTCCCCTTGGGTTTTGGGCACACATGCACACCCGCCCAGCATGTCTTCCAAGTCATCAGGTTCAGGACTTAAACCACATAATCAGCCATGTGGGATGCAGTCACCTTAACCACCAAACCACCTGGCTGGCCCACTGAACTAAATTTTAAATGTGTAAAGGTTTTTTTTTTTTTTTTTTTTTTAAGAGGTTTTTGCCATAGGGGGGGTTTCCTCCCCAAACAAAGGGGAGAGCGTATGCTCGCCAGACAGAGAGAGACAGAGAGACAGAAAGCGAGAAATCACCCCCCAGGGGGATGGCCACGCCGCAATTCCTTCTCCTCCATTCTCCTCTTGAGAACTTGGGCACGCATGCATACATGCTCGGCGTGAGTTTTAAGCCACCAGGTCCGGGACATGAACTGCGGTCGACTACATGGGAGTCCAGCGACATAGCCATTACACTAACTGCTGGTCCCTAAATGTGTAAAGGTTTTGAATAGTTCTGGTGTAAACTGATTTCTAAGATTTTAAAATAAACTTTGAAAAAATGTTTTTTAAATAAATTCTGTAGTAATTTTTTTATCAGGTACGATTTACATTTATTTGCTTATAACCGAGACTAAAGATACTTTAAACACAGTGGAAGGTGGAAGGTAAAGCGTCTGTTTGTCAGGTGAAGTCATTGCTTGCCAACGGCCACAGCTAGTCCACTTCAATACCATCTTCAAGCTGAGGCCCCAGCTCTGGGCAAACAGCTAGTCGGTGGACCTGGTCCTTCTGGCCTGAACAGGTGTCTCCCAGGAACTACTCCTTGTTCTCATACTTGTGCTTGATGTGTTTCCATAGCTTCCCATGGTCGAGGTGCTCAAAGACAGCATCTGCGCCTTGATGGAAGGCACGCTGGAAGAACGAGGTGCCCACCGCGATGGTGAGGGCAAAGGTGGACGTCCTATGGAACAGCTGGGAGTAAAACGTTGCACTAAGCATTGGGGCCACCATGTTTCTTCTGTCTACAGTTAATTTAAAATTTTTTAAAAATTCTTCTGGTGTAATCTGATTCCTAAGATTGTAAAACAAACTTGGAAAAAAATTTTTTAAATAAAGTCTGCAGTAGAGGTAAATAAATAAATAAAGTCCATAGGCCCCTACCCAAAGGTAAATGTTCCTCCTGCTGCCCTGTGGCACCTACACTTCAAACAGGGAAGTTGCCACATCAGTGCCTCATCTTCTAGTCTATAGAATAGGGACTGCGGGGGACCAGCAGTTAGTGTAATGGCTATGTCGCTGGACTCCCATGTAGTCAACCACAGTTCATGTCCCGGCCTCGGTGGCTTAAAACTCATGCCAGGTGTGTGTGTGTGTGTGTGTGTGTGTGTGTGTGTGTGTGTGTGTGCATGCCCAAGATCCCGAGAGGAGAATGGAGGAGAAGGGATTGCGGCGTGGCTATCCCCCCTGGGGGGTGATTTCTCACTTTTTATCTCTCTGTCTCTGTCTGTCTGATGAGTGCATGCACCCTAGAGAAAAAAAAAGAAAAAAAAAAACTCTTAAAAAAAAAATAGGGACTGCGAGACCAGCAGTTGGTATGGTGGTTAAGGTACTGGCCACATGGCTGACCATGGTTTGAGTTCAGACTCTGTCTCTCTGTCTCTCTCCAGCGAGTGCACATGCCCCATGACAGAAACCTAAAAATAAACATATTAATTAATTAAATAGGGACTAGTATTAGTCCTTCAGTGTTTGAAGTGAAGAATAGAGGAGTTAGTGGCTAACAAGCCCACAGAACAGGACCTGGCATGTAGGAAACTCTTTGAAATACTAGTTTGTTCATATTATTGTATCATGGAGCCTTCATACTTTTTTCTCCTTTATTCGTGATAGAGCATATGCATTTGTATGTGCGTGTGAAAGAGAGAGAAGGGAGCATTTTTCACAAGGTCTGAACATGCTGTGATCCCCTTCTTCAAGCCTCTAGGATCTTGGGCACACTTGGGCATGAGACTAGTATGTTTCAGGCTGACCAGGTTGGGAACTACGAACCAGTCACCATGTGGGATCCAGCATCTCTTGAGCAGCACATTTTCACTGCACCATAAAACCAGCCCTTATCCTTCATACTTTTGAGTAGCTTCTATCAAATATTTTACAGAAGGACCGGCAGATGGCATGGTAGTTAAGGGTGCTGGACTCCTACATGGCCGACCATGGTTTGAGTCCCAGACCTGGTAGCTTGCTTTCTCACTTTCCCTTTCTCTTTCTCTTTCTGTCTGTCTCTGGTCAAATTGAATGAATAAATAAAGTTAAATAAAGTAATTCTTTAAAAAAATATTTTACATGGGAACCAGCAGTTAGCGTAATGGCTATGTCGCTGGACTCCTATGTAGTCGACCGCGGTTCGTGTCCCAGACCCAGTGGCTTAAAACTCACGCCGGGCGCGTGTGCGTGCATGCCCAAGATCCCGAGAGGAGAAGGGATTGCGGCGTGACCATCCCCCCCTGGGGGGTGATTTTTCGCTTTCTGTCTCTATGTCTCTCTCTGTCTGTCTGGCAAGCGCACGCGCCCTACAGTGAAAATCT